CACCTAAATGTGCGGAGACGAAATGTCTACTGCACATTTGTGTGAAATGATGATTTAAAAGCGCACAATATTATGACAAATATCGCAGCAAAATAGTACGTAAAACTGATTTGTTTTAATTTTGGTCTTAATACGAAATATTTTATTGAAGAAATGATTTTGTATTTATATTTTAATTTTGAATTTATTATTAGATTTACATTTATTGCTTATATTACTTATTATTTTAAGGTTTATTAATTTAAAACATGGGAATAAAGTTAATTTCACAATGTACTTGAAAACTTTGTTATATTAAATAGGTACATGAATTTAATAGAGAAAGAGTATTTGTTTCGAAATGTTATAAGTAAAGAGGATCGGTTCTACAGATCGTACTTTGAAAAAATTGAATATATCAATTTAGGACTACTTCATAAAATTTTATTTAATATTAAGTTATACACTAAGATTCGTTAGTAAGGTTATAAAAAGCAAATTAAATATTTTTTACAACAACATAAATTAATTTTGTTATTAGATTTCACTTAATTTTTCATCTTTAATTACAGCTTAAATTTAACGAAGTTATTCAAATAATTCAATAATTTAATATCTTAATTTCTTATTAAAAAATATATAATATTTATTACATATTTTTTGAAATAAATTTTCATTTAATCTTATTAATAACATTGCTGAAATATTTTTTTCACTTAAATTATATCTTTGGTTACTTAGCACAGTAGAAAGGGCGCTAAAATCCTGCTACCTGTTCAAGAAAATATTTTCCTAATCTTTCGCGTTTTTTAATGAATGTTAGATACATATTTCTGGAGAAGAAAAATATCTATTTGTGGCCCTCCCGTATTATCTTTTTTAAACTGTTGCAAAATTTATTAAACAAATACACCAATCCTAATACTTGCTACCTGTTCAAAAAAAAAATTTTCCTAATCTTTCGTGTTTTTTAATAAAAGTTTGATACTCCACCTATGTAAATACATATTTTTTGGGCATAAAAAAATCTTCCTAAAATATGTTTTTATTTCTTTTAAACTGGTGTAAAACTTTTCAAACAAATACTTTAAGTTCACTTACTATATTTGCATTTAAAAATGCACAAAGTAATATACAAAAGACTAATAAATTAAGTTAAAATACAAATAAGGTTAAGACAGTTATAATTTTTAGTTAACATTACTTAACAAAAATAATAATTTTAAATATTTGTTAATTTATGCAATTTTTAATATAAGTTACAATCCCAACGAAAGCAAATATCAATTTTTTCAAAATTTGCAACAAAATAATATTTTCTATTTCAAACAAAATTGTGAAGTTCCTGTAATTTTTTTCCACCTTGGGTGCAAACGCAAAATCGCACATTTGTGCACGTTTGTGCATCGCACATTTGTGCACGTTTGAGCAATCGCACATTTGTGCACATTTGTGTAATCGTAATATGAGCAACACACTCGTGAGCAGAGAGAATTTTTTGTCGCACAGTGCGGTGCGAGCATAAAATTTTCTCGCACATCTGATTGTGCACATTTTTGTAAATCAGTCGCACAGCACAAATGTGTGTGCACGAATCTGTGTGCACAATCATTGCTTTGTGCGATGTGAAATTTGAAATCGCACAACAAATTTGAGTACGTGCATTTTTTTTCTTAACACCACAAATGTGCGTGTGCATCTTTTAAAAATAATTTCCACTCGCACAGTGCAGTGTGCGATTTTGTGCACCACATTCCGAACTCTGCTATATACTCAATTATTTATTTATAGTCAGTACCAGAGAATATCTGGTACTGACTATAAAATTCGTTTTACGAATTAATAAGAATGAAAATTTCTTAGGCAATGCTCTATTTTAAAAATGCATTCACCATAATGGAGTGGCCGTGCAAGCAATGAAATTAGTATTTATTGCGATTGTTTAAAAATTTATTTAATTTTGAAATTATTTTCTACAATTTCTAACGAAATCCAATATATATTAAATAAATTTTGGAATATTATATTTCTTGAAGTGAACAATGCTATATACTCAGTTATTTATTTCTGAAAATAAGTAAAATAAATTATAATATCACTTTTGATATGTTTAACACTGAATCACTATTTTAAAAATTAATTATTTCTATTTTTCAGTATATAATTTATTTGCATAGATGTTATAGGTATATATTAATGTCATATAACTTTAAATTTCATTATATAATATATCCAATTTACAAATATTTTAACTCCAAAAAGCTATTTAAATGGAAAACATTATAACCATGATATTATACTGAATTTAATTACAAAACATATTTTTTCAATTTTAAGCTAAAATAGATTTTAATTGCTTTCAACATATCATATGAACCCCTTCTGAACTATTTTCCGCACATCATAAATATATAAATAGCTAAGAAAAGTGTACAAATAATTGTGTAACATACTCAATTACAATCAAAAAAACTTTTTGCATAATTATACGTTAATGTAAATAATTCCATTTAATTTAATAATATTTATTATAATCTTTATATATAATACAATATACTTTATTGATTAAATTATATAGATTTACAATTTAATATTAATAATAATAATAATTACGGCACGGCACGCTTACTCCTTTGAGCGCAACGCGAACAACAACGCATTTTGTATTTTTTCCTTTTTTATCTATTTCTTTATAGAGGGTTGCCATGATCGAATATACTACAGTTCCTCCCCCATCAAATAGTCCCGTAACCTTTTTGGCGGTTGCCTCTGCCGGTACGGTCGCGATTTTAATGTTTCATCTCTTTTATCTTTTTCTTCTAATGACCCCTCTACTTGACTATCTGGTAGGATATATTCATTTGATGAATGACCTGGACTTACTTGGTCGTCTTGCTCTTCCGGTTGTGCCACTGAAGTTACTGTTACTGGAGTTATATTGGATTCTAAACTTGTCGGTGTCTCCGAAACTCGCTTATGCAACTGGTCAATATGTCTCGACAATATGTTACTATTTGATTGAATTTTGTAGTTGCGATCTCCTGTTGATTGTATAATCCCTGGCATCCACTTTTCACCTCTTCCAAAATTTCGGTACCAAACACTTTTACTACACTGGAAACTGCGAACTGGTTTTATTTGTTTGGAATACTCATCAGAATTTAGCTGCTTCTGAGTGTTGTCATCACTGGGGTGCAAATGATCTAACAATGTTTTCAACTTCCTTCTCATCAAGATTTCTGCTGGACTCGAATTTGAATTTGCATTAGGAGTTGTACGCAGATGCAAAAGTATATTTGCCAAATTCTTATTGATGTCTGAAGACTGCATTTTCTTCAGGTGATTCTTAATGGTTTGTACAAACCTTTCTGCTTGCCCGTTTGACGATGGATGATACGGTGCCGTACGTACCGTGGCTCACAGCTTATTTCGTGCAAGCAATATTTTTGTAGATTTAGTCGTGAAAATCCAAAATTTTGTTCAAAATAAAAAATTTTAAATATGCAGCCTTAAAGAATATTTAGTTTTTATTATAAAACAAAAAAAAAATTTAGCAAAAATATCAATATTCAAGAAGTTAAGTGAACAAAAACAAACATACACCAAATTCTGATCTCACAGCTTATATCGTGCAATACATTTTTTTTAGAAAATTAATAATTTTTGGCATAAAAAAGTGAATTTTAGTATTTAGTGGGATAGTCCTTTTGTTTAATTACTGCCTCCAACCTTGAACGCATTGAAATAACTAATTTTTGAGTATATTCCACTGATATTTTTTGCCATTCCAATTTTATAGCAGCTTTCATACTTTCCTTGCTATAAATGTTATATTTTCTTATGTTAGTTTCCAGAATATGCCATAAATTTGCTATGACACTAAAGTCAGGTGATTGGGGAGGTGTTTGGATGATGTGTGGACAATTCCCAACAAGCCAAGTCTGCACAAGACCCGACTTGTGCTTCAGATCGTTATCCTGGTAAAAACAGAAATTGTTAATTATGCCTAAATATTCGGCACTTTTATACAAATTTTGTTTTAATATATTAAGATACACTTCTTTATCCATTGTTGATTCTATAAATTGTAGATTACCTACTCCAGCCGCTGATTTACACCCCAATACTATCACATGCATATTCCTTTGGATATGCCATATTACTTTTGATAGTACTGGATCTCTTCTGGTTGCTTGTGCAATGTCTTTCGCAGTGATTAAAAACTGTTCCTCAGCCTCATTGCAATATAATATTTCAGGTATTTCCGGTATTTGTAGCTTTACATCATTTAAAGGTAACCGGCTCAATGCATCTGCATTCTGGTGATGTTTCCCTTCTCGGAATTTAATCTCGTACTGGTAAGCGCCCAACTTTAATGACCACCTTAACATTCTGGGTGATATATGCTGTGATATTGGTTTTTCTGGGTTGAATAATCCCACTAGTGGTTTATGATCAGTCATTATTGTAAATTGTCTACCACTTAAAAATTGATGAAACTTTTGCACACCAAACATAATCGCTAGCGCTTCTTTATCCAACTGTGAATAATTTCGTTTCGCGCCCTGTAATGTTCTGGAGCCAAAAGCAATCGGTGCTTCACTATCATCCGGCATCTTGTGTGCCAAAACCACGCCAACTCCGTACGGTGATGCGTCTCCGCATAATATCAGTGGTAAGTCAGCCGAATAATGCACCAACAGATTTTTTGATTGTAGTAGTTTCTTTGCTCGTTCAAAACTTAATTTCTGTTCTCTACCCCATTTAAAAGGTGTCTCTTTTCTTAATAGTTGATACAGCGGTTCCAATAGATCGTAATTAACCCAAGAAAAGCTTGTGGCTGTTGTTTATTTATTGGTTCTGGTGCTTGAGCTATTGCCTTCACCTTTTCGTCAGTTGGACGCACTCCTTCTCGGCTTATCTTAAACCCCAAAAATGTTGTCTCTTGTACTGCGAAAACACATTTTGATTTTTTAAGCTTCAATCCTGCATCCTGTACACATTTCAGAGCAGTTCGTGTTCTATCCCACAACTCTTCCAAAGTTGTTCCGCCAATTAGAATGTCGAAGTGCTGCTAGCACTTCTGTATTAGTAGGTAATGGATACGTTTCCTTGCAAAGCATTTGATTCACTGTGCACTTATAATCTCCACAAATACGTATGCTACCATCTGGTTTAATAATAGGTACAACCGGTGTTGCCCACTTACTAAAGGATATTGAACGCAGTGCGCCTTCATCTTCCAACTTCTTTAATGCTGCTTCCACCTTGAGTTTTAGTGCAAAAGGCACATGTCGATATCGAAGAAATTTCGGTTTACTTGAAACTGACATTTGTAACTTCACAGGATTTCCCTTGTAATCTCCAAAATTTCCATCAAAAACTGAACTGAAGTTCATCACTTTTACTGGAATGGTTGATTCTATATTGCATAAATTGCTAGTTATAGTAATTCCCAAATCGTTAAACCAATTTCGACCAATTAGAGCCGGACCATCACCCGCTGCTACTAACAACTTTAGTTTCTTTGTGACGTTCCCAACCGAGACTGGTACTTCTGCTTCTCCACTCAGTTCAAGATTTTTCTCTGTTCCTCAAGTTCTTAATTGTATTTGACTTGGTTTTAGCGGAATATACGACATTTTTTCTCTAAATAACTTTTCACTTACTGTTGAGTAACTTGCCCCCGAGTCTATTTCCATTTGTACCGGTGATTTACCTATCGTAATCACTCTCTTGACCGATGGACTACCTTTAGCGAACATTGACCATAAATACTCCGTCGTTTGAGTTTCCTGGTTTGTATCTAAAAGATTTACTCTGTTTGGTCTTCTCCCATTATTTGTTGCTGGCTTTTTGATTTTTGCTTTTTTTATGCAAGCTCTCTCAATATATCCACGCTTTTTGCAATAATAACATTCCGCGTCTTTAAATTTGCACTGATCTGAATGATGATTTCCTCGACAACGATAACAATTCTGAACATGGTCCACTGGCGCACGATTTGGTTTTACCTTGTTGTTTGAAATTTTATTCAACACTGGCAGGCTGGCTGACGTTTTAAGTTCCGTCGCATTTTTTTGTGCTGTTTCTGATGCTATAGCTTCCTCCTGCGCTATTTTTAATGTTAACTGGTCATTCGCCAGAAGCCGCTTTTGTAAATTTTCATCGCGCATGCCACAGACTAGTCTGTCTCGTAACATTTCCTCCAAATCGTTGAAATTGCAGTCTTGGCTCAATTTCCTTAGCGCTGCCAAATATTCGGTAATTAATTCGTCCTTTTTTTGGTTTCTCCGATAAAATTTAAATCTTTGTATTATTATATTTTCTGCCGGACAAAAATAACTAGTCAATAATTTAGTTGCCGCCTCATATGTAAATTTTTCCTCTAAAATGTTAATCGGTGTGGCAACCGATTTTAATATCGTGTAGGTTTCCGTCCCACATGAGGCTAAAAAGATCGCTTTTTTCTTTTTTGCGTCTGCGATGTCATTTGCAACAAAGAAAAATTCCATTTGTTCCATGTATGTTTTCCATTTCCCCGACGCCACGTTATATTGGCTTAATTCACCAAAATTCTTCGCCATCCTTTAATGTTTTATCCTCGTCACCAAATTTTATTATATTCTTTATATATAATACAATATACTTTATTGATTAAGTTATATAGATTTACAATTTAATATTAATAATAATAATAATTATGGCACGGCACGCTTACTACTTTGAGCACAACGACGAACAACAACGCATTTTGTATTTTTTCCTTTTTTATCTATTTCTTTATACAGGGTTGCCATGATCGAATATACTACAATATTCAAATTATATGTAATGTATTCTTATATTCATATATGAGTATTTACATATATGCTTAAATAAAAACTTGTACAGTAAGTAGTTGAAAAAAAGTTATGCAGCAGCCCTGAAAGAGCGTAAAAGTGGCATAAGTGTGGTTTAATCACACTTAATACGTGTGACAAAAATGTTATAAAAAATGAATTTCCTTAAGCAATTTCTCTTAGTTTTGATCGAGGTGGGTGGAGTTTCCATTCTAGAAAAGATATTCTCTGGTCACAGCCAAGAAACTCATACTTTTACAAGAACGGAAACTCCGCCCCAAAGAAGATAAAGAAAAGAAATTGAGAGTTACTCGAAAAAATGTATATAAATTTTTCTGGATTATTCAAAAAATATTCAAAAATTTTGTGTAATGAGGTGAAAATATTACGCAGTACAATAACAAAAAGCCTAATGCTACATAATGGCGCGTGAATATTTTCCCCACCCGGACCCTGCTACTTTGCCCACCCGGTCCCTACTCACCACGATATTTGCTTAAGTAAGAGAGGTTTCTAAGAAATTTCGTTGTTTGTTTTGATTTTTTGACATTAAAAATCCGTTACGAGAAAATGCGCCAAAGTTGCAATTAAGTGCACAAATACCACATTTCTAAAAGAAAAATATGGCGGAATTTGTTATCAATTATAAAAGCATTAAAAAAAGATAATTATTCCAGAAAAATATACGAATTATGAGTTAATTAAAATTTATTTACAGATGAAACGGAAGTGCGTACTTGGATGTTTAAATTTCAAACATCTCTTTATTTTTCCAAAGGATTATCGAAGGTATATTACTTACTTACTTACTTATGTGACCATAACAACCCGTTACCGAGTTTTGTCCTGACGCAGCATGTCTTCGAAGGTATATTATTAATTAAAAATAACGCAATTTATTGTTGTAGAATAAAGTAAATATATAAATGTATTAACACATTAGAAACTTAGATGTGTGCCTAATTAGTGTATATAATAAACTACGAATTAAGTTGTGCTTTCATTTATAATTTAGTACTTTGAAAGTGATTAGAAAATTTTTTTTTCTATGATATACTAATAATTATAAAAAAGGAAAAATCTTGAAGTGAAATTAATATTATTAATTATACTTTGGTTGAGTGTTGTTATTATATATAGATATTTAAATTTATGTTAATTATATTTTAACAAAACACATGTGTAAAAAATTATATGTTTTAAAAATATATTGTACAATTTGCCATTTTTTTGTTTGTTTTTTTCTTCAAATCATACAGACAAAAGGTTTTCGACGTGCAGTTGCATTCCACTTTATAAAATTGCTGCAGATTTTGTTGTTGCTTGAACAAAGTCTGCGATTTAGTCAATGTGATCTATATTTTTCGTAACTATTATCTTTGTATTAAATGTTCCTTAATAGTTCTCCAAACTGTGTTGCATGTTTTCATACAAATTTTAAGTAATGGTCGTTTTATGATTTTTATTATAGAAACGAGTGGAAGGCTCTGTTAGGAGTTACTGACTCCATAAACCGGATATTTTATGCCTGTGATAGGCACTTTTCTGCAAAAATGCGTTGCACGAAAAATTTAATCCGGGAAGCAAAGCCTGACCAAAATTTAGCAATTTGTGTTAGCAAGAAATTACTTAAAGTAGTGGATGGTGATAAGAAAAACATACATGTTTTTTTGAAAAAAATAGATTGTCTTCATAATTCAATAGCAAACAACATAATTTCAAATATCTTATCTCCACCCACCACCAATAACATAATAGTAGAAAGGGTAGGAAAGGTAGAAGAGGCAATTCCAATAGGTAACATAGAGACCCAAAGAAATAGTTCGTCTTCTGAGTTGTCTCCTAGGAAAAGAAAATTGGTGGAAGAAAATCAAGAACTAAATAATAAACTAAAAAAGATTTGTTTAGATTTAGGTGTTAGGGATAAAATTATTTCAAAACAAAATTTAGAGATTGAAAAGCTTAGGGCCTCAAATAATGAGTTGCTTCGACAACTTTCACCTGGTAAGACATTTACCAGTATCAATGAAGTGCCAGAGGGGGATAATTTAGAGGAATTTTGTAGTAGGCTCTCCTAAAATCTTCAAATTTCTGTTAGAAATTGTTTAAAAAATAGCGATAGGCCGGTAAACGGCTATAGGTATGATAAGATTTTAAAAACTCTCGCATTAGGGGTGTTTTTTCTGTCTCCGATAGCCTATAGACATTTAAGAATTTCTTTTAATTGGCCAATAAGGCGAACTCTTTTAGAGTTTGTTTCAAAGTGGCTCAAATCTCCAGGCTGCATAAATAGTAGCCTTAAGTCCCTTGAATTTCGTAGTCGGAACTTCACATACGCTCAAAAGTATGTTTCAGCTTCCTGTGACGAAATGTCTCTAAAAAGTCACCTGCAATATGATAGGCACAACGATAAAATTGTTGGCCTTGAAGATTACGGTGACGAGAATCGCAGTTCCAAAATTGCAAATAGTGTTTTTACCTTTTTAGTTCAAGGAATTGGTGGAGATAAATGGTCACAGCCTTTTGCTTACTTCTTTACTAGTGGTAGTTGTAAAGCGGAAGTTATAAAGAGATATCTTATTAAAGTAATTAAGCAACTTCAAAGTATAGGATTAAGTCCATGCCATTTTGTTTGTGACCAAGCAAAAAATTTTATTAGTTTAGCCAAAAGCTTAGGAGTTAGCGAAGACAATCCATTTTTTGAGGTGAACGATGGTAAAATTTATTTCTTTCATGATTCTTCTCACTTGCTAAAAAGCACACGAAACTACTTAGAAAATAGCAAAAATTGTTTATATTTTAAAAGCTTAAAAGTTTCTTGGGAAGATATTGTTTTATTCTACAGTATCGATTCAAAAAATAGTTTTAAATGTGCTCATAAACTGACAAACGCACATATTAGACACAATTCGTTTCAAAAAATGAATGTTCGTTTTGCAGCACAAATTTTCAGCAACACTGTTGCTTCAGGTATGAAAACTATACATAGTTCAGGCCATTTAATAGATAATATTTTAACATTTAACAATACTACAGATTTCATTCAATTTTTCAATAACCTTTTTGATATATTTAATTCTAGCAACATTACAGGACTTAATTTCAAAGCAGGTTTCTGTGGCTCAGTTCAGCAAATTAAATTTCTTAAAAATGCACAAAATTTAATTAAGTCTCTGAAAATTGAAGATAGTGACCAGAAAACTTTACCAAGATCGGTTAGAACATTTTTTTGGTGAAATTAGAAGAGGAGGTGGTAATTGCACAAGAATAACACCTTATATGTTTTCGTGCCTCTTTCAAAAAAAATGGGGATTGCAATATGTTAACATTGTTAACGGTAAT